CTCCTTGCCATGGGGAGATCTCTAGTTTGGCAGTTCACAATATGGCCGCTTGCTTCATTAAAGCCAGCGGGGGCGGGGAGAGTCTGCTGGCAAGATGGATGTCACAATCTCTAATTATTGTTGCTCCGTTCTGTTGGTTAGAAGCAAGTTTCCTGGTCCAGTCCGCGCTCACAGTATGGGGTTACATGAGGCTGGGAATACCAGGAAGTGGATGACGGGCGCCATCTTGGATTCTGGCTAGCATGCTGGCTGGCTGCCCGACATCCTTACTGCTTCCCGTCCAGTATGAAATACCCTATGGGCCCATTGCGTGTGGTTGGGAAAGGTTTTTTCCTTTCCCAAGTGGGATTTTTAAAGGATCACAGTCATTCCGCCGTGACTTGTGCGTCTTGAGGGTGGCGATCATTTGTCATAGGATGTATCTCCGGATCCGGAGGAGAGAGACGCAAACAGCCCACCGATCCTGGGCCCAGTGCTGGGGAGGCAGTCCCTGGAATTGATTTTGGACTCCTTCTCTTCTGGGGGGAGAGAACACACAGTATAGCTACAGATTTTGGGTAGGAGCATTTAAAATCGTCTGTGGGGAGGAAGGGAGCGTCGTGGTGTCCAGGAGGACCACGGCCCGCGCTCGCCACCTTGCCTGGCCGCGTCTCCTGCTGCCGACACACCCAGGTTTTCCCTTGAGCTCACACCTCTTCCCTGCTTTCAGCCTGTGGGGTTTGGGTGAGTTGCCCCCCTCGCCACCCCCAGGCCCCACTCTGGGGGACAGCGTGGGGCTCTGCGGGCCAGTGAGCACAGTCGTTGGGACTCATCTTACAGTTACGAGGAGAGGGACCGTCTGCGGGGGCTGCTGAATTTGTGGGATGGAAACAGGAGCTGCTGGTTACCGGCCGTTTCGTTTATCCGTTGAGAATAAACGCGAAGCAGGAGAGAAGGAGAAGTACCCTTGAGAACACCACTTGAGGCTCCAGATCCAGCTATATCTGAAGCGGAAATCATTTCTGGAGCGTCCCTGGTGGGTGAGTCAGTCGACTTCCTTAAACACACACACACACACTTTCCCCACCCCCACCCCAAGCTGGATCACACTTGGCCTCTGTGACTTTACTGGTCACCAAGAGGCGTGGCCGGTTAGTGAATACATCTGCCTATGAAGCGGATCTCTGATCTAGAATCTATTTGGCATAAAGCAGAGGCGAGCGGCCGTCTCCGGCTGCGGGTGGGGCCGTCGCGGGGTGGGGCTGGGTGCTCTGGGGCACCGGGACATTTTCATGGGGGGCGATGGCAATGTTCTCTTGGGGGAGGATGGAAACATTCCACGTACTGATTTGGTGAGGACGTGGGCCTCCGTACCCGTGTCAAAGGTCATCGTGCTATTCGTTCCATGGGTGTATTTTATCGCGTGGAAATTAGGCCGCAATTCAATCCGTCACAAAGATTTTTGTTTTTCACAAAACCTTCCTGAGTAGGTAAGCCTTCCCTGGAATTGCCAGGAAACTTCGCGCCGGCATCCTGACTCACTGGGGCAGAACTTTCCACGAGTTTTCATTTTGTGAACTGTGCCCTGTTGTTTTCTCTAGGCCCCACTGGCTACCGTCCAGCGCCCGCTGGGCCCAAACATACGAAGTCTGCCCGCATTCCGAGTTGCCCCCGTTCGGGAAGATCTGCGCAGCGTGTTTTTGCAGCTTCCCGGCACGTCGAAGGGCTCGTTTCCTCGGGCTGGGCTTCTCCCCTTCTGTAGGACCATAAACGGACCCATCCCTTGGTCCCACCTTCCAGATGAACCCCGTGCCTCCTGGGAAAGACCCGTCGCCTTGGCGGAGGATCCCGAACCGAGATGCGCGTGTGGGAAAAGATCTCGCCCTTCAAAATTCTGGCCCAAGATCCCAGCCCCAATCATCTCGAAACCACAGCTGGCGGGGGCTCGGGGAGAGCTGGGCGGGTGCCAGGGAGGCATTCCGTTTCTTCTCACTAAGAGGGGAGACGAAGGCAGGAAGAGGCGTCAGCTGTCCGGCCGGGCGCTGTGCTGTCTGTTGGACACGCGTCCCTTTCCCATGTCCCGCTCGCCTCAGCCTCCAGCAGCCTGGGCCTCGGCCTGAGCTGCCCCCCGCCGGCTTTGGTCTCGAGCGATGGGCCGGCCCGGGTTGAACTCGGGCTGTGACGGGCCTGTCCTGTCTGTTCCACGCGGCGCCCCTGGACCCCCAACTCTCAGTGCTTTGCTGGCGGGGGCTTACGGGGCCACTGAGCCTTTGGAGGATGACTGTGGCTCCACAGTGGGTGCGAACGGGCAGTCCTTTGGAGCCCTACTGAGAAGATTCACTGGTTTTGCAGGTGGAGCTCTTAGCCCGGGGCCCGCTGCGCCTACTATGTCGTCCGTAATAGTCCCCAGTGCGTGGGATAGGCCGTTCCCCTGAATGTCCCTCCTTCGGGGCCACCCTGCTGCCTCCTGTCCACCTTGCTGCTGCCCGTGCGTCACCAGGGATTTAGCTCCTGAGGCCTGTGCCCGGTCTGTGACAAAATCCATGCCCCACAGCTTATAGGTGGCAGCCCCCTGTCCCTCTGGGACTTGCTCTTGACTTTCCAGATTTGGCCCCTTTGCGTCCTTTGCGTCTTCTAGGAGTGCGCTCGTCGGCTGGCACCTTTCTGCACTGATCGCCAGGGAAAGCTCGGCCCGCAGCCCAACCCCGGCCCCTTCACCCGCCCACCCCGTGTAGCCCGCATAGGCATAGCCCGTGGTGGTAGAAAGTCGGGCTTGGTAACCGCCGGGGGGCGGGGCAGGGAGACAAGTGTTACTCGCTCCTCCCCAGGGACGCTGACACCGCTCGCTGAACGCTGCCGACCAGAGGTTGTCGGGGGAGGATGGCCAGACCCCTTGCTCCAGACAGTTCCAGGGTGGATTCCCGTGACGCTCGGGGCCTCCGCTTCCTGCCTTCACCAGAGACACCCAGGAAGAAGGAGGCTGGGGGTGGGCCCAGCTGAGCTGCCTGGGGAGGGGTAGGTAGTGAAGGTGCATCTGGCCCACCCCGCAGCGAGCTCCCCTCCCGGCCCTTTTAATAATTAAATACCCCAGGAGGGAGGAGCAAAGCGGCCGTGAGCCTCTCTGCCATTAGCACAGAGCGAGGTGGTCCAGGCTGTGGCTAGCTGTGCAGGTTGGATAGGATAGGTGGTCCAGGCTCGGGGATTGGAGGGGGAGGAGAAGGCACGCTCCCTGGCAAGACTATCGATCCACACCCGAGAAGGGGCCAGAGGCTGGAGGAGGCCCGATCCCCAGAGTTCACCCCCGGCCTCCCAGGCCTGGCGCCCACCCAGCTCAGGCGGATGTGCCTCCCCATAGGGGCTCAGCCCTTCCCTGACGCCCAGGCCCTGCAGTGAGTGAGGGCCGCCCGCCCACCTGCCGGCCCGGGCCTGGGTTCTGAGCTCCTGTGGCCGGACCCGGGCAGCGAGGCGGCTCCAAGCTCCTGGGGGTGGGCAGCTCCCGGCAGCGGACTCGGGGCTGGGTGGGGGCTCCTGAGGAACCCCTGGGCCCCCTTCAGGACTGGAGGCATCTCCACCCGCCTGGAGGCCGGCTGCTGGAAGCTTTTCCAGGGAGGGGGTCCTGCTCTCACCCCCCCACCCCCCGCAGGTGTCCTCAGGACCCCACATGCTTCTGAGACCCCAGGGGTGTCAGATGTGAGGCCCCCAACTCTGCTCCTCGGGGACTCTTTGACTGGTGACGGGGAGTGTGTGTGTCGAGGGTGTGGGGGGGGTTTGGGGGGTGGAGTGGTGGGGAGAGGTGGGGGGTGGGGGGATGGGCGTCGGAGGGTGAGTGGGTGGAGGGTGTGGGGGGATGGGAAGTGGGGGGGAGGGGGTGGGGGGAGGGGGTGGGGAGCGGAAGAGGTAGGCATACTGACCCCCACCCCCTGAGGCTCCTCTGCCCCTGGGCACACGGACACGCGGACACGCGGGCACGCAGACGTGGATGCAGACACGCGGACACACGGACACACGGACACACGGACTCAGACACGTGGGCACGCAGACAGATGCAGACACGGGTGCGTCTCTCCCTGCAGAGCAGCTGCCTCGATAGGAGCACGGGTCTGTTGGAAAGGGGAGCACGGGAGCAGTGGCCTGGAGAGGCCGGGAGGGATGAGTCCGGCCAGCTGGGGGCCCGGTCACCAAGAAATGCACTTGGGGGTCAGCCCACCCGGGGGGGGGGGCTCCTGTGGCCCCTGCTCTGGGAGCGAGTCCAGGGTCTGCGGGTGGAACGCTGGCCGCCGGGCGGGCCCGGAGGTACTGCTGCTCCCTTAGCCACCGGCCCCCTCCCAGCCCCTCCCGGCCCTCCCCCTCCCGGCCGCCGGCGCACAGGGGCCCTGCTCTCTGCCCTGGGCTCTCCTTGGGCCCGTGAAGTGAGCAGAATCCCCCCAGAGCTTCCCCAAAACGGGGCTGGGATCCCAGGCTGGACACCTAGAGCCTAAGATGGGCCTCTTGGGACGCTGGCTGGAGCACAGGGGTGGGGGCGGGGGGGGGCAGTCAGGGAGCCTCTGGCCTGGCACTAGTTGAAGTCTCCCCTGGGAGGGGCTCCAGCCCCAGCCCCCACCCTGGAGGGGTGCATCCCGGACAGGGATGGAATCAGCAGCCCAACCCGGGGAGCCCCTGTGTGGACACACTGTGGGCCTTACAGGCAGGGACTGCATTAGCCGGCACCAGGCCTGGCAGTGACTAGGGACCATGAGGAGTGTTTCCAAGGGGAGCAGGGGGGCCCAGAACGGGTGAGAGAGGGCACAGGCTTTAGCCAAGAGGACAGTGCGGCTGACCAAGGCCCCTTCTGGAAACCCTACCGGGAGAGGGAGCACCCTGGAGGTATAGACAGACCAGCCAGGGGAGGGGACACAAGAGCTGGGGTACAGAGCAGGTCGGGTGGGGCACAGCATGGCCAGGCGGCCATCTGGGCCCATAGGCGCTGGAGGGCGCCCTCACCGCGGAAGAACACAGACGGGACCGAGGGCAGGGAGCCTTGCTCAGTGCACGATATAAAATGTTTATTGATCTACATTTATTGGCTTCCATACAACTTGCATGGGCTGCACAGGGCCACTGTGCTTGGAGGTGGGCTGGGGTGGCCGGGTCGAGCCAGCGCCTGCTCCCAGGCGGGGGCTGGAGCCCAGAGGCTGCTGGCCAGTCTGCCAAGCCCCGAGGACCAGGCACGTGGCAGCCTGCACTCTGGAGGGGGTCCCGGGGCTGGCCGCATGGAGTCCGAGAAGGGAGCGATCTGTCCACGCTGGCCCAAGCTCCGTCCCGGCAGGCTGCTTGCCATGACCAGAAACCACCCCCCCTCTGCCCCCATTAAAGTCCCCAAAGGATTCCTGGACGGGGGCTGGGGCGTTGTGTGCAGAAAGACCGAACTCCAAGGCAGGTTAACCAGAACCTTCTCCCAGGTAGCACCATTGCGCTCAGGTCGGCTCCCCGACATTGCTTGGACTGGATGGAATGGAGAGAACAGGTGCCCTCGCAGGGGCGCAGCTGCTGACCCCGGGGGCGACCGTGCTGGCTGTGTCGTTGTCAAGGAGGGCAGATTCAAAGGGGCAGGAGGCGGACGGGCCTGGATGACCCCCCCGCCTCCCCTTGACCAGCCCAGGGTGACTTCCATACAGTAGGCCTCTGGGCGCCGAGGACAATGTCTGGGGGGGGGGGGGGGGGGGGGGGGCCGCGGGGGGGCGGGGGGTCTGGGGGGGCGGGGGGCCCCCCCCCCCCCCCCCCCCCCCCAGGCACTGGCCTCTCAGGAGGCGTTCCCAGAGGGGCACTGCATCTCCATGGTGACCGTGTTGGGCGTGCCGCCCCCGGCCTCCCCCAGCTCGGCGCCGTCTCGCAGGGCCCGCTGGAAGACCACCCTGAGAGGCTCCCACAGCCGCTGTGACTTGTCCCTCCCGGCCAGGAAGTACACGACCGGCTTGGCACTGCTGTTGATGCAGATGCACAGGTCGGTGACATACTCGGGGAAGGGGGCCGGGATCTGGAAGACCCAAAAGAGGAACCAGTCGACCCCCAGGTAGATGGAGGACACGAGGAACACCGAAACCATGGCCAGGACGACGTGGCTGAGCTTCGCGGAGCGCTGGCGCCTCCGGGCCCCGCACTCTGTGCGCAGGATGAGCACCAGGCAGGGCAGCACCATGAGTGGGCAGAAGACCAGGAAAAGCAGGATGCCCAGGAAGGCGTCCATGTGCCTGCAGCCCACGCCGGACGCTCGGTGGCCCAGGAACACGCAGAAGTAGTTGTGGACGGTGGTGACCAGGAGCGACAGGGCCCAGAGCAGGGCGCACGCCACGGCCGACAGGCGCTTGGGCCGACGGCGCCAAAACCAGGCGGGGAAGACCACCGACAGGCAGCGCTCCGAGCTGATGGCCGGCAGGAGGCTCACGCCGGCGACAAACATGCAGAGCCCCGCGACCCTGCACACGGCGCGGACGTAGGCGGCGAACGTGCCCAGGAAGCCGCCCGTGTTCAGGACGGAGAGCACGGCCTTGCTGCAGAGGTAGCCGGCGTCAGCGCCGGCCAGGTGCAGGAAGTAGACGGAGAAGGGGCTCCTCTTGATGGAGAAGCCGAAAAACCACAGGACCAGCCCGTTGCCCACCAGGCCACACAGACACAGGAGCAGGAAGATGTAGTCCATGACGGCCGGCGGTGGCGGCGTGGCGATCTGCTCGATGGTCAGGAAGCCACGGCCGTAGAGCGCCGGGGCCTCGCTCACGCCGGGACACATCTGTGCGGGGGGGGGGGGGGGGGAGGGGGCACACCCCTGTTATTGGGTGGGCCCGCCCCCCCCCCCCCGCACCTGCAGCCCGCATGCCGGGTCCTGCTTACAGGCTCGCGGAGCGGCTGGCTCTGGAGCAGAGGCCACCCCCGTTCCCGCCTAGTGCCACCGCTCTGCGCCGCGGCGTCGCAGAGCCTGCGGCTAGCAGACTGGAGAGGGCCGACAGGGGCGACGTCAGTCCCCCGGAAAGGCACCCGATCGCCCACCTGTCGGAACAGACTTTGGGCCACGAGTGTCCTCGTCACGAGAGGTGAGGAAAGCCCGGGGGGACCTTTCCAGATTGCAGGGCAACGAAGCCGCGACCGGAAAGGCCACGCGGCGTCCCGGACCTCACGGTGGCTCTAACGGTTGCCGGAGAGGATGTCACGAGGTGCCGGGGGGATGTGCGAATGGACCGCGTGTCCTGGGATGGCACCAACCCCGTCCTGGGATGTCCTTGTTAAGGGGTACGGGCTGTTTGGGGACCAGGGGGCTTGATGTCTGCAAACCTGCTTTCCAACAATTCTGGGAAGGGGCCTATCGTGAGGTGCACAGGGAGAAAGCGCAGGTGGTAAGAGGCTGACGATGAACCGGTGAAGGGCGTATCTGCGTATGAGCGGCTCTCGCCCGTCTCCTGTACGTTTGCCATTTTCTCACCCAAACATGAAAATACTTAAAAAAAAAATAATAACAATTGGGGGCGCCTGGGTGGCTCAGTCGGTTGAGCGTCCGACTCCTGGTTTCGGCTCAGGTCGTGATCTCACGGGGTTCATGGGATCGAGCCCCGCGTCAGGCTCTGCGCTGGCAGCCGGGAGCCTGCTTGGGGTGCTGTCTCTGCCCCTCCCCTGCTCGCACGAGCGCCCTCCAGAGCTCGCTCGCTCTCTCTCTCTCTCTCTCTCAAAAAAATGATAAAGTTAAAGATAAAGTAATTGATTTTAAAAAGCGGACCCTGGCCCTAACTGGAGCAGGACTGTGTCCCATAATGGGATCGGAGAGGCCTGGGGAATCAGAGGCGGTCCCCTGGGGGGGCCAGGGAGGCTCTGGGTTTCTGTCTTGCCTGCTGGGTCTGGGCGAGGTGGGTCCCCTGCGACGATGGGGGAGGGGCGGCAGATCTGAGCAAGGTGGGCTTTGCTCCAGCTGGTGGGTGCTGGGTGGGGGGGGGGGACGGGACCGTGGGCCCAGTGGCCCCATCGCCCTTTCCCCAGAGAAGTCAGAACTCTGGGTTGTAACGTGAACCTCCCTGATCTCTACATGTTTGCATTTGAAAAACACCCTGTGGGCCAAACACAACACATCTACAGGCTGGATGCATTCTCGGGCTGTCATTTTGACCTCTCATTCCAAGTGACAGGGCTGCCCAGAGCGCTGTCACCGCCTTCTCTCAGCCCGGGAAGATATCACTAACCCTTCCCACAGAGCCTGAACCTGACCCTTGACCCCGGGGCAACGCCCCCGGGCATTCCTTCGTTCCCACTGCTCGTGACTCCCTCCCAAAGAAAACAAACAGGTTCTGGAGGCTGGAGCGTTCTGCCACCTTCCGGATGGCCCCCAGCTCTGCCAGAAAGCTGGGGCCTGATCCCCCGTAACAGCCTTTCCGTCCTGGCCCCGGTCAAGGGGAATCTGCAAGCAGGGGCCGGAGGGCGTTGGCCCGACTTGGGGAGACTCTGTGAGGTCAGGGCAAGCTCTTCAAGGGCGGCCTATTCACCACGCATCATCCTCTAGGTACATTTATTGGCTCAGCGTCTCTGTCTGTCTGTCTGTCAGCCACCGAGCCCCTTGGCTTCCTCTTTGCTCAGCCTCTCCTATTGGTGGCTTTGCTCCAGGCCATGGAGCAGTGCCACCCACCCCCCACCCCCCACCCCGCCCCCGGCTGGGGCACCAGACCCAGAATCCGTAAGACCCGATGCCCAGACAAGCCCACGCAGAGGGATCACTCAGTGCTTCTCCAGGCTGGAAAAAGTCTGCAATCCCTTCCTCGGAGTCAGAGCGGGAGGGCCGGGTGAGTCACGGGGCACGTGGCTGCCATCTCCAGCCACATCCCGCCTTGTAAAATGCCTGCCCCGGAGCCTGGCCCCCCTCCCGGGGCTCTGGTTTTCTCTGGAGATTTCTGGAGACTTCTCCCCAGCCAGTCCCATCGCTGCGTCCCGTGGCTGCTGCTCCACGGTGGTCACTATGGGAGGAGGCTAAGGGACACGGGCCCCGGGCAGGAGTCCGGCCTCTGCTCAGACCTCGGGGCTCGTCCCAGTCTAGTTACTGGCCCATCGCAAGCCTGGGTCTCCTCGAATGTGGATGAGGTCGTACTAGGTAAACTCGAGGGGTCCCTCCAATTTGGAGACTGTATCGCCTGGGGTTGAGAAGGGAATTCCAGAATTCTCAAGGACCTCAGAGAAGTAGGGGGCTGGGAAGCGAAGAAGGGGTGTTGGCCTGGTGCGTCGTCAGAGTCTCGGCCCCGGCGGGTGCCTGGACCGCCAGACCCTGGCCTCACGGGGTGGCCCGGAGCAGGTGGTGCTCCGTGGGGCACACGACATCAGCGCCGCCTTGCAGCCAGCGTCTCAGGGCCTCCTGGCAGGGACTGGCCACGGGAAAACGCTGACCACCCCGTCTCCACGGGGGAGAGGCGGAACAAGGCCGGTCAAGGTGCTAACGGAGCACAGGGTCTGCACGGGGAGGGACTCGAGGCTTCGCTTCCCCGTGCTTGTCTCACCGATGAGGACACTGGAGACCTGGGGGGCCACACGGTCCAGAGGGCCTGCCGCCCACCTGTTCGTCCTTTGACAGAGGATGGGCCCCGGGCGGCAGAGTGCAGGGGGAGGAGGTCCTGGGCTCCGTCTGCCTCTCCCACCACACCCGGCCCGACGGTGCCCGGACCCCCTCTGCTGCCGGCCAGCACTTGCCTTGTTCCTGTCCCCGGGATGGGCCTCCCAGGAACAGTTTCCCACCATCTCCAGGCCCGGCGAGTCCAGATTCCTCACGGCTCCGCTCGTGGCTCGCGGCCCCGCACACCTCCCCTGGCAAAGGAACAAAGGGTCACGTCAGGGCAGCCGTGTTCCCCGCCCCCCCGCCCCGCCCAGAAAGCCCCTCCACCTTCCGGATCCCCGTCCCCAGGCCCCAGGGGCTCTCACCTTAGAGGAAAAGGCTGACAAGCCAGCACGTGGCTCCCTCCGGGCAGGGCTATGTGGGAGGCACAGAGGTCATCCTGCTGAGTACGGGACAGGTCACATCCATATGCACTGTCCCCTCCTGCCTGGGCTCCTCGTGGCCCCCCCCCCCCCCCCACGATACTCTAGATACTTGCTGCTGCTTGCTGGGGGAGAAGCCCCTCTCCTTCCCCCCTTCTTGCTTGATCTGTGAGATTTCTGGGACCAGATGGCTTCTGGGGACATACATTTATATACCCGTACACATTCCTGGGCTCCTCCTTTCAGGTAGCATTGCTCCCCCATGAGGGGCACTCCAGGGCTCCGGGAGGTGAGGTCCCCCGCCCGGGGTGCACGTGACAAGAGTAAGTTCGGAGATTTTGTGCGTGCTTGAGACTAGAGGGGCTGGAGCAGCTGGAGGGAGCCAGCCAGGACGGCTCTGGGGGTGGCGGGGTGGACATCCCCGCCTGGGAGAGGCTGCTCCGCGCTGGCCAGGCAGAGCATTGGTCCATCTGCCCCAGGCGACCCTTCGAACGGTCTCCTGTCCCCCAACCTGAGCTCTGCTCCAGCAGGCAAGCACCCGTCCCTCCCCCCCGTGCCGGTGGGGAAACTGAGGCTGAGCCGCAGGCCGCCGGCACCCCTCTCCCCCCCATGCGAGGAATGCTGCTGCTCGGCGGCCTCCCCCAAAATTCCTTCCCCGACGCGGCAGGCCTGGGGAAGGCTGGGGCGGGCCGAGCCAGGCGCGCCGGTCGTTGGCCGGGAAGGGGGGCCGTCTGCACGCTGCCTGCACCCTCTTTAACGTTTGGTCCTCTCGAGCCCCGAGCACCGGCGCGGGGGGGATGCGCGGAGAACAGAACAGCGCGGGCATCAGACCCCTGGCCCGCCGGCGGCCCTGCTCCCTTCCCGGCCCCCGCCCCCCCACAGCCCCCTTCTGCCCCAGGCCCTTGGGCAGAGTGGCCGTGTGTGTCGTGGGCAAGCGCTTGTGCGCCCGGCAGGAGGGTCTCGGCGTGGCCTGCCGTGACAGTGCCTGCTGGCGCCAGTGCCCCAGGTGGCTGTACGCGGGGTGGGGGCCCTGGTGCTCGACGATCAGTGGGCGAGCCTGCGTGCGCGTGCGTGCAGAGAGCAGGTGCTGCGAAGGGTGGATCTATAGCCCCCCCCCAACCGCCCCCCAGGCGTCATCCGGGCTCCAGCCCCTGCACTGTCCCCACTGCCTCCCCCGGGTCTCATGCTTACCCACCCGCTGGGGCTTCCCTCTCCTGCCTGCAACCCCAAAGCTACCGACCCCTCAGACCCTACCCTTCCTGGTCCCCTTCGCCCCCGTCCCCGGCGTTCCCGCTCGGCCGTCCTGGTCGCACGCCATCCTGGGTCTGGGCCCTCCGGGACGTCCTGACCACAAACCTTGCCCTCTCACCCCAGCCGAGCTAGGCCCCCGGCACACAGATGCCCCGGAAGGGCAGCCGGCCGGGGCCAGCCCGTGATGCCCAGCTTGGACCCGGCTCGTAGGAAGGGCTCACCTCTGCCGGTTGCTTCCACGTGGGGGCCTCCCTACTGTGTCTCTTCCCGCCTGCCACGGGCAGTCTGGAAAGCTATGGCGCCCAGGCAGAGATCTGGAAGCCAAGCGGACCCCCCCGGACGGACGATGAGAAGACACGTGTGTGTGACACGCGTAAGGCGTGTGCGTGAGCGGCGTGTGCGAGCAGGGGCGGAGGGGTGGGCGCCTCGCGCATTCTCGGGGTGGGGTCTGGACTGTGGCAGAACCAGCTGCTGCTACGGCAAGACGACAAAAGCTGTCGGCTCGGTGCACCCCTGACCCTCCCTTCAAGGCCCAAGGCCCGCTGGGGCTCCGGCCGCCTGTCTGCCCCCTCTCGGCCCACCCTGCCACGAGCCAGCCCCCAGTTTGTCGGGGACGGGGACAGGGCGAGGCTGTCTTCCAGTGGGCACGGTCAAGCCCCGCTTCCCTGATTGTCTTCCCAGCCCCTCTCCTCGCCACCCCACTGCCCCCCCCCGCCCCCCCAGCTCACAACTGAATTGAAGAGGCTGCTCTGGGGACTGGAGAGCCCACAGCACTCCAGGTGCCATCTGTCCGGGAGAAGGTGGGAGGTCGCGGGCCGTGCAGCAAGCCCCTGGGAGCAGTGGGAGCCATCTCTCTGCACTTGGGACGCTGCCGGCTGGGTGTTCCCTTCCCGCCCTTCCAGAAAGCGGACTTGGGCGGCTGGCTAGGGTGGGGGCAGGGCCAGAGGGGGAGGTCGGGAGTGGAGGACAGCACGGGGGTCAGGCCCTGCCAAGATGCCGGCTCCTGCCACCCCCGTAGGGGGGACCGTCAGGGCCTCGGGAGTGTGCGGGAGGCGGCTCTGGAGTGTCAGGGTTCCTGCCTGGAGCCACGTGATTTCTGGGGGCTGCCCGCCCTGACGGCGCCCACCTCATTCTCCCTCCCCGCCTGGCCTCCTCCCTGCAGCCCTGGTTCCCAGAACGCCCTGCCCTGGGCCCAGGGCCCCCGCAGACCCACCTGCAGCTGCCCAGGTCCTCGGAGGTCTCTCCTTCCTGGAGCACGACACCGGCCTCTGGCCGCCGACCCGCCAGGGCAGCGGGCCAGCCCAGAGCACTGGCTGGAGCCTCAGAAAACGCGAGCTCAGAGCAGAGGACGGCCCTTGCTTGCCCGCTTGCCGGAGGAGATGGCTTTGGGAGCAGAACCCGCCCCAAACCCAATTCCAGGCCCGGAGGGAGGGGGAAGGGGAGGAGGAGGGGGGAGGAGGGGCCGAGCCCCAGCTGGGATGAAGCTTCGGGAAGGAATGCCCCGCTCGGGAGCCCCCCCCCCCCCAGGCCTCGCTGGGCGCTCATCCCCCGGCCTGGTGACGTCACGTTGGCCCGAGCACTGCTTCGGGAGTCCAGCTGTTCATCTCCCTTGCGCCCTCGCAGCTCCGCTGGGCTGCTCTGGTGAAACAGCACCGGGCTGTCCGCTTGCCCGGGATTGGCTCCCACTGGGCATTTCGGGGCGCGCAGGCCCGCCAGGGGCAGGTCCCCACCCGGTGGTTTAAAAGCACTCAGGGCTGGTACGGAGGAGCCGGGAGGTAGCCAGGTGAGGGCTCCGTGGAGAAGGTGGCGCAGGCACTTTTGAGAGGTAGACTCGGGGGCAAGACGGCAATGCCACCCAGGTGTGGCCCCATCCCCCTTCCCACCTGGAGTCTGCCTGGGGAGGCGGGGGGGGGGGGGGACGCAGGGGCCCCAGGGGGGACCGTGAGGACGGGGCGTGGTGAGGAGTGGCTTCCCCGGGGAGGCACCAGGAAAGGCACACACCCCTGCCCTGGGCCAACTTTCTCATGACCTCGGGGAGCCCGAGGGAGTTCCCATCAGTGCTTTCTCTGTGGGAGGAAATGGTGCCCAGATGGGGGGCGGGGTGGGCACCCTGAAGAGGACCCAGAAATAGAGCGCGGCCCTGGCACCTGCCCTGGGGCCACAGGCCTCCTGACCCTGGGTGGAGGGACCCGACGTCCCTGCAAACCCCAGAGCGGAGGGGGGAGCCTTGGACCGTGCCCTGCATGGCCCAGCGGGTCTTTGGAGGGGAGGGGCTTCGTTTTTAAGGAGGGGGGGAGAAGGAGTGCTCTAGGATGCTAAAGCTCATGGCTACGCCCCAGAGAGAGAGAGAGAGAGAGAGAGAGAGGGAGGGAGGGAGGGAGAGGCTGGGCAGGGAGCAGGCAGCGGTGGTGACCCTCCCCTCCTCTCCAGGGCAGGCCAGCTGGGGCCCAGCTGGGCTGCTTGTTTACGTGGGGGGGCCAGGGGGAGGTGGGAGGAGGCCGGGGGAGGCTGGATGCAGACAAGTTCCAAGCCTAATTGCATTTGGACGCTTAAAAGGAATTGTGCGAAGTGGACAGGAGCTCTAAAGCCTTATTTGGTCTGGAAATTTCTTTCAAGACGAATGGGAGGGACTCCTAAATGGGAAGGTCGTCCTTTACCTGGGTTTTTTTCTGGGTCCCCCAGCCGGTGTGCCCACCTGGAGCAGGGAGTCGGGGCCGTGGGGGGCAGGTCTGGGGGCTGGGCTCCCGCAGGGACAGTGAGGGAGCCCCCGCCCCGGGCTGGCGCTCGGCCTCCCGCTGCCTCAGGCTCTGTGTGTGGGCTTGTCGCCATCCATTCATTCATTCATTCATGCCCGGGCTCCCTCCGCAGGGCTTAGGACGGTGCCGAGGCGCCAAGGCCACAGTCGGTCCCTCCCTGCTCTCACATCCTGTCCTCGTGCCCTGAGCCGCCACCACCCTGCCATCCTCCCAGTACAAAGGATCTTTATTTGTAATTGTCCCCGGCCACGGGCCAAGGGTGCAGGCCGGGACCCTCCTCCGCTGGGGCTTCCTGGCTTCTGGGGTCCACGATCGCCCTGCTGTTGCCGGGTGACGGGCCGGGCGGGGACCAGCCCTCCGGCGGCCCCTCTGAGTTCCCTGCTCTTGCTGGCATTCACTGAGTGCCCGCTAAGTGCCGGGCGCCGTGCCCCAGGCTGCCGAACAGGACGGTGGAAGTCCAGCGAAGGCGGACCAGAATCAGACGGCCCAGACACGCGTGAAACCACACCTGAGCGGGAGGCCAGGTAGCTCAGGAGGGCTTCTCTGAGGAGGTGATGGTGGAGCCCTTGGAGAGTTGGGCAGGAGTGACTCGGGGGAGAAGCAGCAGGACGGCATCCCCAGCAGAGGAAGTGGGCACGAGCAAAGGCCCTGGGGTAGGGAGGCGTGCCGCACAGGTGAATTGGGGTGGCTGTGACCCCAGCCGGGCCGCTCGGAACGGCCCCTCCGGGCCCTCCTTGTGCCGTCCTCACCCTTCTGCTGCCATTTGTGCCATGCGCTCAGGGGACAGGTGCAGGGGTGACCAGGACAACCACAGCTGCACCATCCTGTGTCCTGTGAGTCGGGTCCGCCACCAGTTCCGTCGTTCAAGCCTGCAACACCCCCCGTCTCACAGGTTTCATGCAACACGTGTATACCGAGCACCTGCCCTGTGCCAGGCGCTGTCCTAGGCTCTGGGAAGCCACTGATGAATGAAACAGTCGTGAGCCCTGCCTGCAAGGTGCCCAGATTCTGGAAGTGAGGAAACTGAGGCCCAAGGAGTGACTGTGTGTTTCCCTTGGACACCTGCACCCCGCCCCCCAGCCCCCCACCCGCACTGCAGGACTTGAGCTGGGGGCTGGGGCCGCTTCATCTCTGCACCCCCAGCACTGGGCACGGAGGCATTGAGATACGGGGAGAGGTCCAGAGCCCCGGGATCTCGTCCTGGCTTTGCCTCTGTGAACCAGGGGAAACTGAGCCTCGGTTTCCCAAGTTGTACTACAGAGGGATGGCAGGGGGGGGGGGGGGGCGGGGCTTGGTGATGCTTCTGCTCTATGCCCCGTGCCCATCTTCCGCTCCAGCTCCGGTAGGCCAGTCTTCCCCCTTCTCAGCAGGGCTACTGAGATCTGGTTCACACAGCAGACAGCTCGCTTCTTTAACGTATACAGTGGTTTTAGTGTATTCACAGACTTGTGCAGCCGTCACCACCGTCTCAGTAGGGAACGCGTCGTCACCCCCAGAAGAAACCCTGTACCCGCGAGCGGTCACTCTGCACCCCCCCCCCCCCCCCCCTGGTGACCACGAATCCACCGTCCGTCTCCCTGGATTCACTTGCCTGTCCTGACGCTCGATGGAAATGGAATTACACACGCAGCGGTCTCTCGTGCTTTGTTCCTTCCGCTCGGTGCAAAGTCGTCAGGTTCACCCGTGCTGTGCTATGGCCCGGTACTGCACCGCTTCTTACGGTGAGAGGCTGGTTCCTTCGGGCCCTGCGGTCCGCCCTGTTCTCTTGCCCTTGGCTGAGATCCTCCAGGAGACGAGGCAAATGTGGACGTGGTCTGGGTCTCCCAGGTTAATGCCTTTGCCCTTTTGGCTCCAGCTCTGCAGATTCCTCAAAGGTCTCTGCAAGGCCTGGCTGGCTTTCCTGATGGGCAAGGGTGAGTGCGAACCCCTCCTCCTCCACCCTCCTCCTTTCTCCAGCTAGGCTGGACCACCTGTGATGGAAAGTGCATCTTGGGAATGAATGCCGAAGCCAACATTTTCCTCCGTCCTTCATGAGGGAGATTATTCATTCGTTCGTTCATTCATTCGTTCGTTCATTCATTCGTTCATCCACGTGTCCATCCAACCATCCGTCCATCCATCCACCCATCCGTCCATCCACCATCCATCCGTCCATCACCCACACACCATCTATCCTTTCTTACCTACATTTACCACATATTTACTGAACACCAGCAATGGTGCTGGGAAAGAGTAGTGGATAAACCAGAACAGGCGGAGGGGAGAGGAGCCGGCCAAAGAAAGAAGTTCCCACTGAGATCCATGTAGTGAGGAGGAGGAGCAAGTATGGTGATCGAGACTGAGGGAGGTGTGACGTAAAGTGAATAACGGCCACCTGAAATGTTGACCTCCGGATACCCAGGGTTGAGAATATGTGACCTTACAAACCAAAGGAGACTTGGCAGATATGATAAAGCTAAGGATCTGGAGATGGGCGATTATCCTGGATTATCTGGGCGAGCCTGCAAATTATAAGGCCCTTAAAAGACAGAGGCAGAAGGCTCCGAGTGATGTGTGTGGTGAATGGGGTCGGTGGGGAGAGGCAGTTGATGTGACGACTGATCAAAGAGGTTGGAGGGATATGAAAAGGGACCTTGAGCCAAGGAACTCAAGTGGGTTCTAGAAGTTGTAAAAACCAGGAAATGGTGTCTCCCCCAGGTGCTTCAGAAGGGACCAGCCCTGCCTCCCCCTTGGTTTTAGACTTCTGATCTCCGGAGCTACAAGAGAATAAATGTTCGTTGTTTTAAGCCCCTGAATTTGTGGTCCTTTGCTGCTGCAGCATCGGGAAGTAATACAGGTGGCCGGTAGGGCTACCCAGCAAGGCCAGGGGGATAAGATCTCTTTCTGCTTTAGCGAGACCTGCAGCATCCGGGACAAGGGCAGCAGGTGCAAAGGCCCTGAGGTAGTAAGGATTTGGTGCGTTGCAAGAACAGAAAGGGTAAACGGGGGCAGGAGTGGGGAGGTGTGTGTGCTGAGTCTGGGGAGGTGGGTGCAGCCGCCAGCCCCCTGTCAGCCCAGGTGAAGAGCCGCCTCCTCAAGCCAAGGTCAGGATGCCTCCAGGCACAGCATCTGGCCGGCGTCCCATCGTTCCCGTTTGAGGCTCTCTGCCCAGTTTCCAACCCCTCACTTCCCTAGTGCCTGGAAATTTCCCAACTGGGTCCACTTCTCTCCCTCCCCAGGGCCATTACCCTGGGGCGGGTTTTTGGCACCTCTGGCCCAGACTCCTTGCCAGGGGCCCGGCCTCCACTGTGTCCTTCCCTCCGCTTCAAGTGTACTTAACGTGCCGGGGCAGTGCAAGTAGTCGACTCGGGTGATGATCCTAGGAAGCCCTCCAAGGAAGCGGGGAAGTGAGCCGGGGAGGAAAGGCGTTGTGAGAAGATCCCACCTTGTCTGAGGGGACTGGTCTCCAGCTCCCCGTGGCCTTAGCCTCCGTCATTGGGTCATCGTGACCGCTGACGCCTGCAAACCCGGGCGGGGGCCCCGGGAGGGCGGCGGGCGCGGGAAGAGACAGGCCGAGACCAGCAGTCTCTAGACGCGGTTTTCCCGGGTCTAGTGCAAAATCGCAGAGCTGCGCTCGGGTCTGAGCGATCTGGTGTCTTCTGTGTGTGGGAGGCCACGGTTCCTTAACTTTCTAGCACAGGTAGCTGTTTTCCAGATAAAACTCAAGATTGTTCTGCTGCTGGTACATCTATCTGTTTGATCTGGAATTTGCCCCGAAGCCTGGTTCTGTCTGCCAGCCGAATGGATCACACTGGGGTGTGTGTGTCTGTGTGTGTGTGTGTGTGCGCATGAAGTCCTTTTTTTTTCTTTTCAAGAGGTTTTAAATTCCAGGATCTTAAAAAAATTGTGGGAAAATACACGTGACACCAACTTTGCCATTTTATAATTTTTTTTTCAACGTTTATTTATTTTTGGGACAGAGAGAGACAGAGC